CAATTAAATCAAGCTCCAAGAAAGTGAAATCAAATGTCAAACACATTTTAACCAAACGATATCAGTTTCAATTCAAAAGTTTGGTGATATTTTCCATGCATTAATATAGCAACTTGCATTTGAAATTAAATTTAGCTGTTAATAAATGAAGCTGGTGTCATAGATTTACCTAACAGTAAAAAATAACCATATCAATTTTAAAACACAGGAAAAACGATGTGTTTAAAATTGTTATGAATTAATCTGAGATTAAACGAATCAAAATCTATCATAAGTACATGGTTTGTGGCATCAAGCATTTTACAATACTGTAAGACTGTACATTCCTAATTACATTCACTGGTTATCAATTCCTACCTCCATTAACTGAAGAGTGATAGGAAAATTCATTATGTCCATTGGAAATCCCTTGAGATCTTTGCATATGAAGGGTTGTACAGTTTTTAAAAGTTGTAGGCTTTTGCAATCAATAGTCATGAATGTTTAATGCTGATCATAGAAGTATATTTGGAGTTGAGCCAGATAGGAAAATGTCTTTTTCTATCAGCAATGAACTTTTCATTACAAATATATTCTCTGATAGATAATGGTCTTATTCTGTTTGTCAGTAACATTTGAATTAATTCCTGACCAATGACAATCCCATCCTTCCTTATTTTCAAATCACATACCAATGGAATGCTCAAAATGTGTTCAAACAAATTTTATATTAAAAACTGCAAAAATAGGTGGGTTAAATTTTTAAAATGCTAATGTTAATATTCACTTACAAGTTACATTCACTTATGCACAAATACCCTTGGGAAAGGTATGAATCCATCTCTTCTCCGTCCTAGCCATAGGTTGAATAGCAGAACACACTGGGTCTTATAACATTGGTTGCTAACCAGTCTACTGCAGAAAGAAATGGCAACCTCCTGCAGTGAAAATCTTCTACCTGGTCAGTCATAAAAGAGACAAGTATGTATCACATATGGAACTTAACTGAATTTTAATATGAGGGGCTGCTGAAATGTTTTCAGCCCAACTAACTTCCAGAAATCTGATCAAGCATCAGAGTTTTTTAAATCTCTTCTTAGGGTTTTTCACTTTTGTACTTTTCATTTATTGATAGGCCTGTAGATTTTTTTTTTAAATCACTTAACCTAAAGCAAAGCAATAATGCCACTAACACGCAAGGAGCTACTAAGAGTGAAAGAGAATGAAAAAAACTTTAGAAAGAACCAAAAACCCAATCCTAAACAGGAAACAAGGGATAAACATCTACATTTATCAATAGTAGGTTATTACAAATTCTTCTGTGAGGGAGGGGTCAAAATGTGCCATTTATACCTCTTTATCTTATCTCTAGGGCAGGGCTTCTTAACCAAGGTGTCCATGAGGATCAGATAAAAATTAACCATTATATTTACCTTTGCCCCAATCAATAGTTTGCCATAGAAAGAAATAAAAGAAAAATGCATTCTGTCACTGCTTGAAAGAAAATGCACCCAGCCTCTACTTACAGTGTCGATCACTAGGCGTCTCTTGACTTGCTGTTGGGTCTATGTTTACCATTTAAATATTTGTCATCATTCTCTACACAACCACTATTTTTTAATACACCATAAAGGCAAATGATAATTCTTATTTTCTATGGTTTATCATAGCTTGATTATATTCTCATAAACTGATTAATTGACCTTCTTTCAAATGTGGCTGGCTGAAAAGTGATGTGTGCAGTGTGCACAAGAGTGCAATATGAAGAAACACATGTACAAGTATTGTGAAAAACCAATCAGAGTGTCTGTCTGTTAGTCTATGAAAGGCTAGTTCTTATAGGGGTCCATGACTCAAGGATCTGTGGCTAAAGGGGTCCATGACTAAAAAAAGGTTAAAAACCACTGCTCTAGGGTTAATATTTTGCACTTAAGTTTTCTAGCAGATCATAGATATTAAATGGTAAACATTTTCAATTATTAATATTCTCTGTATTCTCTAGGAATGGATGTTGGGGTGTAATAGATATTGGCTCAGTATGAGAAATCGGAGAGCTGAGTTCAAAATCCAGTCAGGTTCATTACATTCAGTACACATAAAGAAACTTGGGAAGGGTATGAATCTTTAGCATCCCGCTACCACTTTTTTATCAATGTCAAATTTTGTGCAAATCTGTGCAAAAAGCGAATCACAGAGCTTATCCAGCTTCATACATATTTTCAGAAAACCTAAACTTCTAATTGGTCATTAAACACACAAGCGGGCATTGCAATCCACCCGCACACAAGTCTTTTTCCAGCGCATGACCAAGTCAAAATTTTGCACTTCTTTCTCCAGAGCCTATCATGTGGCACCATTGATTATAAATACCAGACACAAGTTTGTTTTTTCTCTTCTCTTCTCCTTTGTGATTTCATTTGCTTACAAAAATGTAACTGTTAAAGGAATCGTGTCTCAACCACTTGTGGGCAGACGCTATGAAAACATTAACACACACACACACACACATACACACATACATGTATGTTTGAAACTTAATTACAAATATTACAAACATTACAAGTTTCAACATATTCTCAGCTTTACAGAATTCTTTCAACTCTTTCGCAGTGAAACAAAAGAAAAGTCAACCAGAAACATTGCTTCCATGCTAAAGAAATTTAACTTGGATATTACATTTTTTTCAATTCTTCACCAGCAAGAAATTACTTAAAAAAAATCATCTGAAGCTACAAGTTTACTGAACATATTTTCAGCTTTTCAAGACATAATTCAAGAAACTTTCTCACTCAGTTCTATTCAACAAAATTTTCTCTTTGTTGAACATTTTCTTTTAGCAGCAAGATTTATTGTAATTATTTTCAGAAGTACAAAAACTAAATTTTATTTAGTACCAAATAGAAACTTCTTGAAACATCAAGTAAATATTCAAAGTTCCATTTTACCAAACACATTCTCACAGTGAACATTTGAGCGGCAAGTAACTCCTATCAATTATGCTTGTATATCATTGACATATGTCAACATGAATATTCTTTGTTATAAAAACCTTTTAGTGTTCCTTCTTATTGTTTCATATTTTGTGGTATTTTGAATTAAATATAATTTCGAGAGGTCACACCAACGAACATACCTCTACAAATCCATCTCTTCTCCCCTCAGCTATGGGTTGAATAGCAGAACAGACTGGGTCCTATAGCCTTGGTTGGCAACCAGTCAACCACAAAAAGAAATGGCAACCTACTGCGGAAAAATCTTCTGCCTAGTCAGTCATTAATCGAAAGAGAAATAATTGCCGAAGTGTATATCACATATGGCACTTAATTGACTGACTGAATATTCACTATACCAAATCATGTGCTAAATAAATATGGAAATTTAGGCATCTACTTAGTTTCTAAAAATATTTTTAGCATTTGCTGTGTTCCTAGATATGTAATTGTTAGAGTGAATGTAAGTTCTGATGCATCCTACTCATGATATCACAGATTACATGAACGTAAAATTCAAACAAGAAGAAAGTTTACTTCTTTCTTGTCATAATACATTTTTGCAGTAAAATGAATTGCAATGAATTTCTATATGTGCTTTTAGGATTTGCTATGTATGAAAATTTTGGTATAATTGTTGAATAAATCCTACCCATGATGTCACAGGTTACATAAATAGTTCAACTTATAAATGGTTACTTCCTTTTTGTTATATTTTATTTTTATAGTAAAATAAATTGCAATGCATTTCTATATATGCTTTTAGGATTTGCTATGTCTATTTATGTTAGCTTTGTAAGTCGTACTGGTATCATGTAAACCCAGTATTAACTGCCACATGATTACGTCATTGATGACTAAACCAATCCCTCCACCAAGTTGTTCTGTGAACCGGGTGGCTAGACATTCAGCAGGATTAAAAATACAGGGTGTCCACAAAAACTAACACCATTTAAAATGTGAATATCTGAGTAACTACATATCCAAGGCAAACAAAATTAATCAGGTTTCATGCTAAACTATAAAAGATTTATTTATCAAAATTCAAACAAGATGCTCAAAGGGATGGAGATTTTATAACAGATTTCACAAAGCTTCAAAGATTTGGTAAAAATTAAGGAATTAGATTCAAATTATAGCAGACTTATTACTAAAATATATTCTATTAATTAACTAGTTTCAGACAAAATAACATCTTTTTTAATGAAAAGTATTAAGACACAATGTCTCTACTGAGTGGTTAAAAATTTAAATAACTTATAATTTATGGAGAAAGAAATTATACAAAATTTCAAGCATATATTAAATTATTAATCTGCAAAGCTTTAGCTTTTAACCATGCATAGTTATTTAAGTTATTAGAAATTTTATACCCTTCAGCTAACACACTTTAGAATTGAGCTGAGTAATTTTTTTTGTTAAATATTCACATGGATTGTGTATTTATTATTATGTCTGCACATGAGATATAAATAAAAGAACATATCAAATAGTGAGTCAGTGTCCAAGCAGTTCATGTGATAATAGAAGTAGCAGTTGGATGTAACAGTCCAAGGTGAAGTCATTAAGAAATTTTCCCATGTCTTGTCTATTTCCTCTCTTACAAAAAAAACTCTCTTTGTTAGCAGAAAGTGGACTGTAAAAAAAGAAATTGTAAATCAGCACAAATATTTCTGTAATATAAAAATTTGGGATTTACACTTTATCCGCCTTCTTTCTCCTTCTTTTTTCATTGTCAATGAGTTAAACATTTTTACCAGGCCAAGTTTTCATCTCTCAACCTTCCACAAAACCAAACAAGCTGTAGATGTGAATATAAATCTATGTTTAAACCAAAGCTTTCAAATCTTATATAGTATCATCTATATTTATTGGATGGATTTTAGGAAACATTAGTAACATTTCTTTATTTCTTCTTATCCCTAGCATTGTAGAGACAAAGACTGTGTACTATATGTTGGTCACTTTCCAATGATTAATGTACATTGAATAGTGTACATTAGCGTATCTATCATCTTAATTACTGGGCTTACAGCCACATCATGTTGAAATAGCAGTTCCCATATGATCACAGAAGTTAAGCATTGCAGAGCCTGGTCTATACCTAGATGGATGACCACTTGGGAATACCAGCTGTTATAATCTTAGATGTGGGAGTGCTGTAATGTCTAAGGGTTCAGAATTGTTAATTGGAGAGCTGAGTTCCAATTCTAGTTGGGTTTGGTATATTAATTATGCGCAAATATCCTTGGGATAGGTATAAATCCACTTCTTCTCCTCCCCACAATTATGGGTTAATTAATTAAACCATTATTATTTCCCAAAATAAAATAAAATTGTGTACAAAATATTTAGATTAAAAATTTGCAAATGGTTGATATGCCGCTAAACAAAAACAACCAACCACCCGTAATTACTATAGACTGACAAACTACTATTTGCTCAGGCTCTTTTTCTTTCTTTCTCTCACGGTGGTCCCCACTCTTATTCATGGTTTTGTTTTCTTCATTTTTGCTTACACATTGTCAATTCTATAAATAAACAATTCATGTTTTACTCAGTAATAGTTTCTAATAAATAAAACAATTTATGTTTTATTTAATGATGGTTTCAAATAAACAATGTTTTACTATATGATTTCAAATATCTTAATAGTAAGTCCGATCAGTTCGATAAGGTGAAATTGGCAGCCAATCTAGAAAATGACCTACAATCTGTTGTTAACTGGTACAAGGAATGGCTTGTTAATTTTAATGCATCCAAAATGAAACTGCTCTCTCTTAATTGTCTAAGAGAACACTTTTTGCCTTCCATCAGCTGAACCTGAAGCTGAGATGCCAGGTAAGGACTGATATCATTACAGATTTTTATTTGTATTTTATCTCGAATCTTTAGATTCACTGCAGAAGCACCAGACCAAATGTGACAGCAATGTTCAATGTATGGATGAATGGTAGACTTATAAATATGTAAGATAGATTCTGGTGAGAAAAATTGTCTAGAAAGACACAGTAAACCAACATTCCTAGCAGCAGACCTAACAAGTGATACAATATGATCTTTCCATGTCAGTGCAGGGTGTTAACACAGGAAGGCACAATGAATCACTCTCCTGGGGATTAGCATCAGCCATGCTAATTAGAATTATTTTAATAGAATGACTTCAATCAACAGTAGCACTCGATGATCCATCAATGAATTCCAAATAAATATTTCCGTATAAGAAACAATTAATATTGCTATTACCATTACCATTTGTGGGGATTATACTACCCACTAGTGTTTTATTTAGGACTATAAAAAGAAGGAATCTAAACCCTCTTATTCTTTTTGCTCTAAGATGTAGTGGCAAAAACAGCAGGACTCTTCTCTTCAAGGAAGACACTCCTCCTGTTGACCAACTTCTTAATTTCACACAAGCACATTGATCCTCACACACACACACATATACACACACTACAGCTAAGTACATAAATGTTTACTTTTCTTTCTTTTTTTTTGCACTCTCTGTACACACCTAAATATAATTTTCTTTTTCTCTTTTTTCTGAACTATGAATGAAAACCTCCTAATGTATGTTAAATTCATTTCTTTTGAAGGACATCAACTTTGTCTTTTACAAAGTGACACCATCTACTACACTACACCTTCAATTTCACAGGCGTATTTTTTTTTTTTTATAAGTTACAGGGTTTTAAAAATGGTATGGTCTACAAATAAAAATGACATTGGAAGAAGGAAAAGATATTAATCTGTGCTCTCTAAGGCTTCAGTCAGTTTCTCATCACCTTATCATTGCCTCTCTGTTTCTTTTCTATAAATACTTTCACGGTAATTGTTCAGATGAGCTCTTCGTTATGGTAGTAACACTTTTGTTTATTTTCTTGTAAACAATTTTGTGTCATATTTGTAAATATTCTTTTGCATTTAGAATTTTAAAATTGATATTTTATACCCCTCCTGCTACAGACATGAATTGTACATATGGGGACTAGTTAGGATTTTCATGGCGATATTGAGGCATTACAGTGGATGTTGTAAGAATGATAAGTAAGAATGCGTTGTTTTGATGTAAGGAATATTATGGTATGTTTAGGTCAGTGATTGTGGCTAGCTAAGCTTAATGTTAAGACAAAAGAAGACCATCCTTCCCCCCCCCCATTTTGGCCTTGTACCACATTTTGTAATAAATTATAAATAAATATCGCTCTTCTCCATGCTACCTAGACTTCATGAATTTAAGGACAGTACTAGACCAGCATCGAGATCTCATCAATTTTAAGCCAGTTAAGCTGGCTAGATCTGACCATAAATTCTATGCTAACAGATTCTTTTCTCATACTTCTCACTTGTGGAGCTCCCTTCCAGCTCCAGGCTTACAAACCAACTTTAATCTGCAAAAATTTAAATACAACATCAATCACTGTCTACTGTCCTCCTGATTACTCTTTCCTCTTCCCACACATTATTAATGTTTCTGTTTTCTAATTCTTCCATACCCTGTAATCCTTTGTGTTTTAGTGGCTTTAATGACTTGCATGGGGTGATACCATTTAAAAAAAAAAGGTCTAATGCAATAAAATTTCAGTAGATTTGCACAATTTTACTGAAAGTACAATCGGTATATTTCAGTGAGATGTTATTTGGCTTGCTGCTTGAAACGCAATAAAAATATTGCTTGATAGCAACTTGATGTAATCAAACTATGCTGTAAAATGTCAGTTTTAAGCTGTTACAGACTTTAAAAATATATAACTGGCTGCTGATTAAAAAAATCAACTGAAAAATAGCTATATCATGATAGAAATATCAGCGTGTTTACTATTCTCAAGAAGTCAAATCAAGTTAACTAGTTTGTGAACATAAGGTTGAGTCACCAGTCTGTAGTGACATGTATGATACTTGTGTTGCTGGCTGCTTGGTACAGAGAGTCAACACTTTCCCTTAAGAATGTAATAGCATGCTAAGTGGAAGAAGTTGAATATATTTATTTAGGGATACTAAGTATGCACACTAAGGAAGATTCTAAAGAAATAAGGAAATCAGAATAAGAAACAGACAATAATTACATATCTATTATTGTACTACACTACAATGTGTTGAAAGAATAAAATAGTGAACAAAATTGTAACTGTTCAGAAGAGTTTTCATTAAAGATCCCTTGGAAAATTCATTAAGTGGTACAATCACATTTAGAGGCATATCTACAGAAAGTTGTGCCTATGACAAGCAACTAAAATTGCACTCCAATCTTATTCTTCTTATTGAGTCACTACACCACACTCATCCAGTATTGCACACAAAGTCTTGCCTGAGGTGTTATGGTTTCATGGTTGTTGTGCATGGATCTTCAAGATTGGGCAAAAAAGAAGATGTTCCATAGTTTGTTATTGCCTGCATTGACAGTTGGAATCAACATTGATGGCATATTCCCATTTCTGAAGGTTGGCTCTACAGCAACCAACAGGGCCATGCATCACTGTAGCAGGTGGGGTGGGAGTCTGAGGGAGAGCCTGTGTTCCACATTGTTAAGGTAGCTGCAGCATAGGGATAGACATTGACTAGGAGCTATGACACTCCAATCAAAGCATCTAATACTCGACCTAAGTGTAAAGTAAACCTACTAATTAAACAATGCAAGTCAAGACTATATATATATATATATATATATACATATATATATGAAACTAACCCTATTTTCAACATAATTACATACCCACATACCATATTAAGACATGCCTAAACTTTATTTTCTAACTAATGTAATGGAATAATCTGTCACTCCCATGAGTGACTACACTATAGGTAGTAACTACCTATAAGTGTCTGTAAGTCAATGGACTACAAAGTCTAGCTGGGATCTGTTGAGTATGACTCAGACTTACACAAGAACTACCAACCTTCCAATAGTAACCCTCACTACTGGATTGACTAGTGATGACCTTGTGCATAACTGTTACCTTTATTCTTATTGTATTGGGTTTTACAATAAACCTTTACTTACTTCATCCACCTTGTTTTTCAAGTATATATTCCTATTAGCATGGAATCTAATAACAGACAATATTAAAAACATGCCAAAAAGATTCCACAATACAACACATTCTATTTAAATCAAAGTGTCTATTGGTTAGAAATTAACACTACCATGTGAAATATTTGACCAATCAGAGAAAACTAAAACACTATTTTTCTCAAACCTACTTTTGAAAAAATTTTATTTTAAAAACTCACAGATTTCAACTTTCAGTAGCAGAGATGTCACCTAGCCGTTCAAATACAAGTAAAGAAATAGTACATAGCTTTTTCCTTCCCCCCAGTGCAGACTGAAAGAAACATGACAATGTCTTCAAATGAATCGTCTCCAGTAATAACAAGGGCAATCAGATACTCTTTGCTGTCAAAGTCTTTTCTCAACAACAACTTTTTTACGGCAGGCCAACTACTAAAAATCTTTTCTAAACTACAGACTTTTCTGTGACCCTACTGCCCATAGACTTTAAATCAACTAAAGACTATTTTTACTCCTTTTTGACCCTCTTGAATTCATGTGCATATGTTTGTAAACACAAATGATTTATTTAACAGGCATATCTATGTTTTCTTTATTTTATTATTGTTTTGAATTCATACATTCAGATTACTAATATAAAAACCTGGACAACAAAATTTCCTATATATATATATATATATATATATATATATATATAGAGAGAGAGAGAGAGAGAGAGAGATACTTCAACAATAAGACTTATTTGTTATATTTTGTTTGAAGAGAATTTATAATTTAACAGTATAATGATAACACATGGACATATTCTTTTATGAGATTATGACAACACAATTGTGACTAAAAAAACAAAATCTTTTAAAGTACATGACCTTAGGTGATAGGAAAGCATGTTTTAATTTTCCTTTACGTTTTTAATTGAAAAAAAAACCCTAAGATATAATGGCTCCACAAGAAGGCAATCTTTTAACACATTATGACACTACAAAATCATTTTTGAACGCCAAATAAAATACTTGGTGATAAGACAAAATAACTTTTAATAATCTTTAAAATTTTTCATCAAGAAATTATGAATGAAAGTATAATAATTCTGCTTGTCCTTCCCTTAATTAGAATGACTTTTATG